ATAAAACACAATATCGAGCGACGAAATTTAGAAAAATTACACAAAAAACTTGAATATCTGGTTAATATTGTGGGGATGTAAATGTATGCGTGAGAGAATGAAAAGATGTTTTCCTAGACAAGCGGCGTTATAAGAGGAAATCGGTGTGATTATTATGTCATAAGAGAAGAGTTATCGCGAGCAGCATCAAGAGACAAGTCGACGCGCGAGCCGATGTCGCGAGAGCAATCAAAGAGAGATCGAATGATAAACCGATACAACAACCGGCGGTTTTCAACGTGGAAAAACAATTCTTCGATCGTTCGTCGAAAATAAAATGAATGTGTGCGCGTATGTATGATTTTCTATAAGAACGATCTCACAGGAGCTCAGAGAGTTCAGTTGTAGTCGAACTGTTTAAATAAGACACCCGACATCAAGTTAGCGTTCGAGTTTGCGAGTTTGTGACTTTCTGTTCTACTATCTATTGGATATTATTATCCGAAATAAAGGATTCTGTTACCATCTTTAATAAATCCTACAATATTTTCACAAATGAGAAACTAATTTGATTTTCCATCGTGCATAACGACAATAAACGACAGATCGTTACAATCGAGCGAATGTAAAAATCGTTTCCACAACATCCTTTATAATCGCCCAGGAAAGTAATAAAAATGGCGAATTAAAAAAAAACGCCAGAGCGCAGTTACCTGTTACTCGCGCTGAAAATTCTCCGCATCGATCACGGGGGAACAACGGCGGCGCTTCGCGCCCGGTATCGCGACGCGACAGTGGAAGATTCCATCAAGTTTTCAACTGCAGTGGTAGCGGCGGCGAAAACCTCGTCGACACAAGCGGCCGGTACATGGCCGAGGCTGGCTACTCGCCACACGTACACTCCTCCGTCACGCCGTTCCTGCCCCCCGCTCTGGATAAATTACGCTAGATATCTGCATACAAAACGGCCCGGGAAAATTAAAAACACAAACAGCGAGCGCGGGGGAAACACCCCGGTCCATCTCGCCCTCCTGCCCTTCTCACCCTTCGTCGTGCGTCCCTCTACATCGCGCTTTCCCTCTCTCTCTCTCTCTCTCGCTCTTTCTCTGTTTCTCTCTCTCTCTCTCTTTCGCGCGCGCGAGAGCTTTCTCTGGCGCTCTGCCGTTTCTCTCTGCCTCTCTCCCTCCAGCCATTCTCTCCTCCCACAGCATCGAGCATACACCGGCCGCCGCTTTCCCCGAAGCGGTAGCGACGCTATCGCATTATAGCGCCGCGCCACCAATCTTGTAAATTGCCCTCCGCTGAGAGTGGAAATCATAAGTTTTCCGGTAATCAAATGATTCATCGCGCCGCCCTGCCAGACGGACCCGCGACGACGTTGTTGCGCAGCGAGACATCTCGATTGCGGAGAACTCGCGAGTGCGCGAATTTCGCCTCGCATCCTTCGCGAGATCTCCTCCCTCCTCTCCAGCAGCGCCCCGAACGAACGAGGCGCGTCCTATCGAGTATCGGCATCGGATTTGGATAACTTTCCGACTTCCGAGTATTACGAATGTATATCTGAGCTAACGAATCTAATTAGCGCCAATCGATGCGAACGCGATTCTTCTCTTTTATTTATCTCGAGTGATCCGAACCCGATTGCTTCCCCGAGAGGAGAGGGAGAGAGAGAGAGAGAGAGGGGGGGGGGGGAAGAGAGAAATTCCAACTTTGGAGAAGGAATATATGCATATATTCCGCAAGTACATTTTCGCTTATTAATATGATTTATTCAGCTCACATATCAGTAATGCTCATAATAGACGGATAGAGAGAACGAGCATCGATTCCTTATATTCCTCTATAGGAAGTTTCAAAAGTGCACACAATCCGGACGACGGTAATATCGCGAACGGCAAATTTCGTGCACGCTTTGCGTCCGAATTAAGAAAGGGGAAGGCGAGAGCGCATCGAACGCGTTTCCGCGCGTTTTCGCTTGAGTGGCGCGCGTAAGAAGTGCGGTCCCTTTGATTTATCGGCCACAAATCACACGGGCCAGAGAAAACGCTTGATTTTTATTGGCCGCAGTTACTTCCAATACATCATTCGTAGTACCCGCCGTTGCTACCCTTGTAAATCGGCTCTCTCTCTCTTTCTCTCCTACTCTCCTCAGGCCATTGCCTTTCCTGCGTTGGCGAGCTCGATCGTCCGATTCTCGAAGATCGCGATAATTTCGTCTCGCGAAGAGAGTCACGGCGGAAGTCCGTGCGATCTCGCAGTAATCGATACACGCCCTCCCTCTCTCACCCCCTCGCCGTGTAAAGTCCATAAACATAGCTGAAATCGTCGAAGTCGCCGGGCAATTTGGACGAGCGGCGAGCACAGCTCATCGCGTTTGCCCATCGGTTAATAATCGATTATGACCGCGGGAGTATTTAACGTGAGTTTTCATTAACCGATGATTTATAACGGCGCCATGACGGTTTACGGCAGCGCGCGTGTAATACCAGGCCGATTGCAACGGTAGCACTCTTCGGAGATTAATTTTGCGTGAATGCGGCTACGCGGCGAACGCAGAGCGCCGTGTAGTTATTGATCGGGCATTAGTAGGCTAATGATTAATTGATGATTATAATTGCATTAAGTACCGCTTCGTGGTAAGAGTAGAAATTACATTAATTATCCCAAGTACTTGCTCGGAATAATTATATGATAGGCAGTGATACGATGGCTCGTTTTACGCTCGCGTACATTTGTATCGCCGAGGATATTATTATTAGATGAGCGCACTCTCAACGAGTATCCCAGAAGCCGGAATACGTCTTCCCATTCGCCGCTACGAGCACATTCACGTTACAGTATGGGCGTCACTATTGTCGCGATTGAACGCATGCCGCGCGCTCGGCAAATCGCCGAGGAGGTCTCTTCGCGTAATGGGATATAGCCGCACTTGACAAACTTGAGATATTCGTTACATTGATGATACAACTCCCCTCGTCTGTGTGCCCCGGTTTACACCGGTGCGAGCATCGCATTATTAAAATCCTTTCGACATCTTTTATACAGAGACGAATATGGTTCAACGATGTGGCAATTGTAGCATCACTACCACGATATCCTTCCAAATCATATCAAAATTAAGTCTCCGATTTGAGAGATGCAGTGCAACTCCACGTTGGAAGAAGCCACAAGTGAAAAATGTCGAGCTCCTGTGTCAGACTTGACGAGCAGCGAGCGAAGAGATCGTCTCGAGTGAGTTCTCGCGAGGCTAGGAGGGGGGGGGGGAGAGAGAGAGAGAGAGAGAGAGAGAGAGAGAGGAGTATTAATTTCATTCGTACAGAATGCATCGCGACTTCCATAAAAATACCGTGTCCCTGTTCGAATGAAAATCCAGAGCGCACTTCCCTTCGCCCCTCTTCGTTATTCTATACGCGGTCATAGCCGGCGAGAAAGACCGCGACCAAAACTCCGCAGCACGCTCAATGAGGACGCGTCGCTGAAGTATTCATGCGTCATAGAATTAACCCGGAGCGTCTCGAGAGCTACGGGACTTAATTTAAAGTCAGACGGCGTAGAGAAAGCTCATAAATACGTGACCGACGCTCACATCGACCCTCGAACACAGACGGACCACGTGCCGTCGTGCACGATGAGAGCGGACCACACACAAGCGCAAGCGCGCATATTTCTCCACCCTTGGCGATACTACGGGGGAGGCGGGAGGGCGAATAGCGTAAAGACAGTCTAGGGAATTTTCAATCGACCCTACCGGCTTCCCGGACCTTCCGGCTTACGCGTGGAACCTTCGAACTTTTCACAGTTCTTCCGCTCTCGCGTGCGCGACCTTCTTCTCTCGCGGCGAACAACGAGCGATCGATCGCGCGAATGATAAGAATTGCGGCGTGCGAACGAACTTGTTAACCGCTAAATGCACCATCAAATCGTACATACGTGCGTGTGTGTGCTCGGTGCGTAGAAAGAGATATGCTGATATGAACGTGTGACGTAACTCAATAGAGAGGACCCGTTCATTTGATCGAGCGTAATTGTGCGTCCAACTTGTAACACATCCACGTTCGCGCGAGTTGTCCTCCGTTGAGAGCATATTCCGATCGCGTATTTCGTAAAATGCAGCGCGTTTCTCCCGTGAAATACATTCCCGTGTATAAATGAATATCGATACGCTCTTATCGATGAAGCGTGTGTTTACAGGCTTTACAGGCGGAAAATTAACTTACCTTCTAAGATTAACGAGAAAAGTTTCCTATTAGGTAGATCGCAATCTATTCGCGCGGGTACAAAGTTCCATGCATGTACATTTATGAGAGTGATATCGTGAACACGTCCGGCACGGCAACAAGCGATACCGCGCCAACAACTACCCGCCGCCGGCGGCAGCGGTTGAGAGAGAGAGAGAGAGAGAGAGAGAGAGAGAGAGGCGCGTACGTTGCGCGCATCATGGGCGCGGACGGAGGGGTGCGGCGGGTGTTTTATAGTGTGCCTTCCATTACAATCCGTCTTTTATATCAATTTCATTTCCTTAAAAGTATTTTTACTGGCGAGGCAGGCCGCGCCGCGCGATCACGAGCGCCATTCGTAAAACCGAATACGACTCCCAACGTGGCCAGCGGACTTTAATGCCGGAGACGGCGCCGCTATGATCGACGACGTTTTACTTAGACCGTCTTGTCTGACCAGGCTCTGAGAGAACCCGCCGCCGCGCCGCGCCGCGCCGCGCGAGTTCACGTTGCTTACGACGTGGCGTATAAATTCCGCACGACCCACGATATATAAGACCCCGCGCGCGCTTTTACGTTTCGTCTTCTCCTTTCGCCTTGCGGAGCTTCTGCGATCTCAATCGGCGAACATTACACCGTCGCGTCGGCGCTTAAACGATCTCGCGCCGGCTGAAAACACGATGCTGAACGCGCGCGCGGCGAGGTTATCGCGAAACGTTTTGTCGTCCATTGCCGGCGAGAGGCAATATATCGAGAGCTACCTCCCAGATATCGGCTGTGTGTAACGCACAGCGCGTAACGAATCGACAATCATAACCGGCCACTTCGATACGCCCCGTCATAACCAGCTGTGCGCAGTCTCCTTTTATAGTTAACGTGTATGTAACTTGGCAACTGGGAAGCAATCACACACGGCGCATCCTGCTGGTCATCGACACGCTTGCGCGCGAGCGAGCGAGCGGCGATGTTTCTGAAACGTAGCGCGCACTTCCGCTTGCAAATGCCGCGGCGGAATCCAGCGGGCTCGATAATTCTCCAGGCAACACGGACAATCAAATCCTGGGGACACGATCGCTAACACGTGTGAGTATATTAGTGCGGCTCTCCCGCGCCCTCCCTCCCTCCCTCCCTCGCGCACTCTCGCCCCGGCCGCCCTGCCCGCCCTGCCCAGGCCGTCGCATCCAGAATACATGTGGCGCGTATCTGCATACCTACCTCACCAATTACTATTCCCAGTATCTGTGCAGGACCGGCGAACGTTTCGCGCGCAGCGCGCGGGATCATATCGGACCCGTTGTTAAATTATACAGAATCGCGCGCGCGCGCGCGCGCGGCCCCTCTCACCGTCTTTCTTTTTTGTCCCCCGGAAAAAGGAACTTCCGCCGGTGGTCTTTTGAAAATGACAAGTCATTGTGCGCGCGTTTAAAGACTCATTACGCGGCGCGCAGCACGAATCCGAGGACGTTCGACCGCACGGGGGGGATTCACGTCTCGAGCACGCGAACGTGAACGCGCTCGCGTGCTCGGGAGCGTGCAAAGTCGGAATACGCGCCGGGCCATTCATTCGCGGCGAATCGGAACTGCCGCTCAGCCATGCGGCACGAAATGAAAGATCGCGCAAAGTAAGGAGAACCACGACTACACGTAGCGAGCGTATAATCCGTTTCCCTTAATCTGCCTTGTCGGTATTTATAATTCAGGACGTAATTTCCCTCCGCTCTCGCGCTCGCCCGCTGCGAGATCCGCCCGGGCGTGCACCAGCACACATCGCCGCAGAGTATGCGCGCGCGCGCGCGCGCCAACATCGAATTCGCGTATAATCCCGGGGAATCTTTCGAAGCGTATGAAATTCTAACGAACTCATCCTGTTGCGCGCGCGCACCTGTGTAACGGAATATGTAATTATATACGTATACGCGAAGAGACTTACTTATGAAGATTCTCACGTATGAATACGCTGATTAGGGACGCGGCAGCTGCGCGCGTGCGCACCGGCCGAGTTCCTCTGTGTGTGTGTGTGTGTGTGTGTGTATCGCATTCTCTCCGTCGGTCTTTTGTTCAAGTCGTTTTAATCCGCCCGGCCGGCCCTTGCCCGCCCTTTTCGCTCTTTCGCATCGCAGCGCGGCGGCTTTTCGCGCATTTCCGACGCGGTGGCGATGGCTGCGAGTATCGGTGAAAGATTCACGATCGTCGTGCTCAAAAATCGCGGGAGTCGAAATGGCTCGCGATTCTCGATGTGAAAAAACAACAGAAAAAAGGTAGAATGAAAGGGAAACGGAAGAAAACAGAAGTGACGCGTGATAGATATACGACGAGCGAATCACGATAACTCGCAGTGTGTTCCACACACAGGACTGAAATCGTGATATCTATCGCGACCAAATTGATGGATTAGCATAAAGAACGGCGCGTGATATACGCCCGAAATATATTCCCGATATTGCCACGCCAGAGATCTCAACATTAGCATAAGCTCGTAAATACTTTCCGCTCGGCGCAATTTTTTCCCACCACCCCTCCCCTCTCGATATATTCGGCGCGTTAATGTCAGGCACCAGGGCTCAGGCACCGCCATTCCCGATATATTAACTGTTTTTGTACAGGGTATGAAGACTGAGATACGTGAGGTTGATAAAACGCGTACTTATCCGGGGATGGAGATATATTATGCGATCGAGGTCCCTTTGACCCGTTCGCCGCGCAGAATGCTCGGCAAGGTTCTATCCAACTTTACGGCGGCGGTACGGGGCATCGGAAATCGACGCATCGATCTCGCAGGGCGGAGAAACTGGACGGGGGTAAATTGTGGGTCAAAGGTTGGGGTTAGTCTCGACGCGTCAGCACTTTAGCTCTCGTTAATGACGTCATTTACCAGTCTCGGGGCGCGCTAAGCCGAGCGTGAACGCGCAACGAAAGAAGGAATGGACGATTGACTGGTGAAATCTGGCTCCTCGCGATTTTGCGAGCACACGAGTCGAAGACTACACTGCCTCTCTCTCCTTCTCTCTCTCTCTCTCTCTCTCTCTCTCTCTCTCTCTCCCTCTCTCTCTCTCTGTCACTTTACTCTTCCCCTCCTTCCCCTCCCGCTCATCTATCTCCCATGGCGATATTTTCTACGATACCCGTTGAATATTAACGCGGCTAGGTCGATACAACACACGTTATATGACGTTATGTTATGAATACAAAATTAAAATGGTAAAACGGCCAGGTTTAGCTTGACAATATTTAAAATTTAAAGCGCCGCTTTCACGAATTATGTATTTCAAATAGGTGGAAAACGTCAGTGTATGCGGTTTAATTCATGAATAATTAAGTCGGAAATTAAAACCCCGATTATCTCCCCTCAGTCGTTAGGACTGTCGGATCAGCATTCAATTTTTGCTCCGAGAGTGCTCATTCGCGTGAAATATTAAACCGTTCTATTTTGACATCGTTACGATCCGCGCGGCTGATCTTCTTACGAATTAGGTGCCGCACACCACCACCGACCTGTTATCATCTACGTTCACGTTTGTGACGAGTAGTAAGGTCTATATCGAGCCGGCTGGGATTGATTAGCTTTACGTTATCGATTATCGATATGGCTTCTCGATTTTTTAGTAACCGCCATTTCGCCGCGTTACGAATATCCGAACGCAATTTGAGAAACCGATAGCCCGCGCGCGACGTCCTAATTCCGATTGGATTTTTACAATTCCTTCGGGTTTCCGCTTGCGCGGCGAGCTCTCACGAAGTCATCCCGGCAGAAAATCGCCGAATCCTACGGGGCGAAATTATCTTTCGGCGATTGCCGTTTACATCGTCCGGCAGCTTCCGTACCATGGAAGTCCATATCATGCCGAGAGGGATCAGAGGGGGGCGGGGGTAGATGGAAGGGAGCGGCAAGGGAGCTTGGGAGAAGGAGGAAGGGGGGGGCGGGGGGGATCCATACAGTCCGCGCGCAGAGTCTGTAGGTCCATAGCCGGCTATAGCTTGCCTCTGCAGTTCGCCGGCTATTTCCCATTTGGCAGGCGAGCCAGACCCAGCACTTTTGGTGCCAACCGATAATTGGACGAATCACAGTCATTCGCTTCGCGCGAACTACTCCTCTCTCCGTTCCCCTTCGCCCTTTCTGCACTCTCTCTCTCTCTCCCCCCCTTCTCTCCCTCTCTCTCCCTCTCTCTCCCCGTCGACTCTCTCGTCGTCTCATAGTTTTCTCCCTTTCGATCGCTCGCGCTAGACGACTGATTTCACCCATTGCTTCCGGTCGGGAGGGAGACTGTTGCAAGGGGCTGCACTTTCATTCCTCCGGAAAAACGAAGAAAGTCCAATTAAAAAGCGCTGTTTCATTAAGCAAAACTTGGTGGGATAATTCATTAATATCGAGTTATTTCATTTTTATATACTGCCTTTCGCCAGAGTCATCGAGATAATCGTAAGAAATAGACTCGAGTTTTTAATAGAGACCTCCGAGATTTCTCGCTGCGCTTTCCCCGCGCTATTCGCGCTTGCCATTCGGCGTATATAAACTCTGTCGCACTCCGTGCGAAATTGATTATCGCTCTGATTATTAACACACGCAGGTCGAAATATTATAGATATTATCATAGAGAAAGACATTTTGATTTCTCGATATGTGTATATAATAAACATATTTGTGTGTATACATATATATGTACACACACACACATACATACACAAACTATGTTATGCGCAACGCTTTCAATCTTGATTGCCGACACGTTATATATCGCTCGGGGGGGTGATACATAATAGTCTACGTCCAATATACACGTAGGCTATTGATTTGTAATATACTGGCAGGGTTAATTACATCTGGCTCCCTCCCACCGCAGAGCTACTACCTTCGAGTGCTCGCCCCGGTTTCGGGGAAAAACCCACTCACACGAGCGACGAATCGAATTTTTGCCCCACGTGTGGAGCAGCGCGATAGCGAGATCCGATCTCTCGCCATCGTGCGAATGAGCTCCGATGATCGCGGGGAAGGCGCGCGAAGTCGCGCCACAAAAACTCGATATCCCGCGGAAACGCGCTCGCGCGTGCACACAATCTTATACGACGAGCTGTACGCGCGGGTAGACGCGCGATATCGCGTCTCCCCGATAATTTATTCAGCCGGGGGAACAACGACGCGCGCGCTTTTTCTTCCGATCCTAATCAGTTCCCGGTTACGTCGCTGGAGAGAGAGAGAGAGAGAGAGAGAGAGAGAGAGGGGGGGGGAGAGAGAGAGAGAGCGAGAGAGAGAGAGGGGGGGGGGGAGAGAGAGAGAGAGAGCGAGAGAGAGAGAGAGCGGGGATGAATAATGAGCTTTGCACGCGCGCGAGTTCCGGACGACGACGTCGCGAGAGTCGCGCGCTGTCGTAACAGAACAGAAAGTCGAAAATCGAGCAGAGAGTCCCTCGGAGTCGCCGCGAGTAGGCTTCCGCTAAAACCCGCCGGTTTGCTTTAGAGGCAATCACAAATTCACAGAGCATTAACCTCGCGTTCGGGAGCAATAGGGTACGACGATAGGGTGGAGAACGCGGCGAAGGGCGGCTGCGGCGGGAGGCGGGAAAGATGGGTAAATGCGGCAGGAGGGAGGGAGGGAGGGGTATATACGGCGGTAGCGTTACGGGAAGTATGCGCTATCTGCAGGATCCATGCTATTTGCGTAAAGTGGCCTAACCTACCCCCATTGCCGCCGTCCCCTCCAGCCTCGATTCCGCGGTGGTAACCACCTACGTTTAGACGGCCTAGAGGGTAATACATTGTTTGCTCTTCGTTCGCTAAACTAAACCGCATTCGGAATTAATTGCACGTTAGGAGGCCGCGAGATAATTAAAGCCGCCTCCATTGCCTGCCTCCTTCGCCCCCGATACGTCGTTAGGAAACGCCGCTGTTGGACATCTTCGTAGTTGCGAGTTATGGCCGATGCAGAAGCATGGATAAATTTTCTCGGATACGACAACATTGTACGACTCTGTTCTCACATTTATGAGATGGTCGCCGCAGGTAGCCGGTTAATTCTACCCACGGTATAAAATTGCCCCCCTCTTTCCCTAATCGTCATCTTATTCGGCCGAGGCGACTCAATCAGTTTGCGACGTAAAGCGAGCACTGCGTCTAATGTCTCGGCTGTCTAATTACAGTTCAAACAGTTATAGTAAAAACAGTAGTAAGTATCATACGGTGCGAACATCAAGTACAAGTATGCGCAAGAAGACGGCAAATAAATGTGGATCTTGCTCTACCCTTGCCGTGAAGAATCTCATAACAACCAAATTTGCAAGCCTAACATTGTCCGGCACGAAGCAAACAATCACTACCGGCGTTTTAACCGGAGAGGATTCCGATCCTCTATTCGAAGCTCCGTGAGAAACCTCGTGTAATATCCGCGAACATTTTTCCAAGGATGTACGGATTCGTCGGCGATCTGCGAGAGGACGATTTGCGAAGACCCAAGGGAACCGTGATGTACGCTGCTCGAAATTGCGAGGACGAGCACGCCGAGCGATAATCGGATCGATCATACCGGGGAATGACTCGCCTGCCGAAGGAAATTGGTCGTTAGTCATTCCACCTGGCCTCCTCCGAGCAGGAAACAATTACGGACTCGCAGTCAACAGAAGCGATTCGCGCTCGCTGCGATCTGAGAGAGAGAGAGAGAGAGAGAGAGAGAGAGAGAGAGAGAGAGAGAGAATTAGCCAGTCTCTCTCTCTCTCTCTCTCTCTCTCTCTGTGTTGCTCTCTCCCCCCTTTTCTCTCGACTCGTTGGAGAAAAGCGAACGAGAGGGCAAACACAGCGGCCAAGCCCCTCTATCGGTCGATAATCTATACGCTTTTTTCCCCGCGGAGAAACGCCCACGCCGAAGACCGGCAAGAAGCCATTGTTTCTCCGCGTACGGCCGGTTTGATTGTGCTAATGAAAAATGGGAAAGTAGTAAAACCGAGCCAACGAGGGCCCGCGTCGCCGTCGAGGAGAGGGCTCGGCCGCGCTCGGACGTGGGAGGAAGAGGCGAGACGAGAATTGAACGGCATCCAAAAGTGCTCATAAACGAATAACACTCATAAAAGATAAGATATCGAAGGATTATATTCATTATCATATATCTGGATATACCGGGGCTTTTTGCCTGACACCGCGGCTACGCGCTGTTTCCCTGATGTATGACGGATATCAGTCCCGAGTTACGTTCGCCGATACTATCCGCAAAGTATTCTATGGCACGAGCGAATGATATATTGCGGGCAAATATTAAGTTATGTACACGAGTTGGGGCCATCAGTCATTTCCGCGAACGTAGCAAAGAGGTGGTCTCTACCTTTCGACTTTAAAAGCCGCAGCGTTGCAGGGCGCAGCTTATAATGTTTGTGTCGTGCTTACAACTTTATACCGTTACGAGCATTAAGGTAATTTTCCTCACCGATACTTTTTCTGCCTCTTCTGTCTGTTTATATGCAGTAAACTTGTGAATGATACGGTATTAGACTTTTAATAAATTACATACCTGTCTCTCGTTTTTCCCTCCTATTTGTTGTCAACAGAATCCCCTGAATGCAATTGCATTATATGCATTCATCGTAAAATAAATGACTTTTGCAAAATATATTTTTCAATTGTCGACCCACCCGTAAAGGCCATGCACACACAAACGCACTTAAGCAGTAAGACGTAAGCGGTAAGCAAATCGACCAATCACAATCGAAATTTAAAGACGCCATTTTTAAACTTACGAGAATAATTTATTGTGATTGGTCAGTTTCTTTATTGCTTACGTCTTACTGCTTACGTTCATTTGTGTGTGATGGCCTTAATTCTTCTTACTCCGAAAGCATCACTACTTTGCAATTATTTCATCTTGCGTAATTTTACTTTATGTGTGAATTTTTTAAATGACCCGCTATATCTTCCTCAAATAATATTTAACGCTTAAAATAATAAATAAGAACTCAACAACATGTAAATTTATACGAAATTTGCAAGGAATATATTTTCCTCATGAGACAACTACGCGAGAAGAATTGTTGGTAAGTTACCACCGTTCAAAAGCCAGATGTGATATTCTTCTGGTAGGTGGCGCTTGATATTTACCGACGTATCCACAGCTGAGTAATTCAATAATTTTGAATTGTAACCGTCAACGGCTGAGATGTACTACCTGACTAATCTCGATACTCCTGATTAGATTACTGGATGATACTTTGACACGAAATATTCACGAAACTCACCTTCCTGTCAGTCCTTCCAGGCATTCCTGATGACCGTAATCCACGTGTAATCCAAGGCTCCTCCGATGAGCAACAAGGGCAGCTATCCTATTCTGAGCTTCCACGATCACGGATCAACATTTTCACTTCGCTTCACTTTTTTGTTCACACTTCCCTTCCTCTTTTCACCTTTTTACTTCCCCTTTTTTCACTTTTCTCTTCTTTTCATTTCACTTCCACTTCACTCATCCAATTTCACTTCACTCGACACTCCCGACAATTCGTTTCGCGATATTTCCTTTCGGTGGCATGATATTTTGTCACGCCAAACGCACGAGACTTACTTTCGGCGCTCCCGACCGTTAAATCACGGCCGAGACTCGCCTTCAGCAAGTCAAAATCTCGCGAAAATACGGAAGGATCGCCGATTGCGTGTCGGCACGCCATGATCCATTCCTCAACTGACGATCCAAACTGAAAACATCGCGATTGAGTTCTCGAAAGATTGACAGAAACAAACGAATAGCGGTGAAAGTGTGCACTTTACAATGAGGTTATTTGAACGATTTTTAATTTTGTACACACATTTATGCGGTTGAAAACAGCGTGAAGCCTTAAATGCAAAAAAAAATGCAAATAAACATCAAAGCAGATCAGTCTCTGCTATTACATTGTTCTTTGAAAAACTAGTACACTTTCTCGAAGTACACTTTCATACTCTAAAAGGAAGCAAATATGCGATTGAGCCTTGAAAAGAGAGCAAACGAAAATGAATGTAATTAAGATAATTAAGTGCAGAGAGTGTAACGACAAAAAAACAGCCTGATCGTATTTTTGCAATTGTCGCATTTTTGCAGAAATAATAGTCGCACGTATAAACGAATACAAAATCGAGAAACTAATAGAAGTTTATGCATTATTCGATTCAACGAAACAAAAGTTTCATCATTTTACGAGAGATATTTCGCCCGTGACATTTTAAAACAGAGATAATTTTAATATTGTTCTTACTTTACAGATTTTATACGCGCGCCTGTCTCACCCACGATTACTCATGTCTAGCTACCACGATGGCAGCACTGTGACGCTGATAGCGGCGCCCTTAGGACGGTGTGCACCGTGGCCGAGCACAGGTACAGCTAACTCGGTCTGTCGTATTATTGTGCCGTTGATTTGCGTCCAATATGTAACCCCGACGACAGGTGAGTACGCGAATAGTGAAATGAAAAGCGAAGAATGTCGTAAGAACACTCAAAGTAGGTATCGTTTTTTTCTTGCAGGAAATCACAAGCAATACTCGTCGCATCCGGTGAGATAAATTATCCCCAGGGGTGGGGTCAAGAGTGACCACTGTCATGACCACTGTCATTTAAACAAAACAATTGAACGAGCAATGCGTTAATTGCGTGAGTGGTGATTTAAACGACATAATTATGGCTCGACCTATCGTGCCAAGTCAGCAAAAGTTGGCTGAGAAGCTGACCATTTTGAATGACAGAGGCATCGGTATGCTCACACGTATTTACAATATAAAGAAGGCCTGTGGCGATGCCAAGTCAAAGCCTGCCTTCCTGTCTGACAAGGCACTGGAGTCCTCCATCAAGGCAATTGTCAGGAAGTTCCCTAACATTGATATTAAGGGTCTGCAGACTATTACTAACATTCGTAACGAGATCATCAAGTCCCTGTCATTGTACTACTATACATTTGTTGATCTTCTGGATTTTAAGGACAATGTGTGTGAGCTGCTGACTACTATGGATGCTTGTGGTGTTCACATGGATATTACAATCAACTTTGACTTGACCAAAGGATATCTGGACCTTGTAGTAACATACATCAGTTTAATGGTCCTCCTGTCACGAGTCGAAGATCGTAAAGCGGTGCTAGGGCTCTTCAATGCAGCTCACGAGATGGTGCATAGTCAGTCAGATCCTAGTTTTCCTCGCTTAGGTCAAATGATTATGGATTACGATGCTCCACTGAAGAAACTCTCAGAAGAATTTGTGCCGCATTCCAAGTTGTTGAAAAATGCTCTAATTTCCTTGTGGCCGATATATCCTGGTAGAAACTTGACTGCTGACACATGGAGAGCCGATCAAAAGTTGAGCCTTGTTGGTTCCCCTGGCCAAATACTTAAAGCAGCGGCAACGGAGACCATGTCTTGTGAAACACTCAGCTTGGATAGAATCGAAAGATGGGTAATTCTTGGGTTCACGCTTTGTCACACATTCTTAAGTCAAGAACAACCGAACAAACTGTGGATCACTGCTTTAGAATCTGGCTGGGTATTGGCGCTGTTTAGAGATGAGGTAATTTACATACATCAATACATTCAGACATTTTTTGAAAGTATGAAAGGATACAGTAAAAGAGTGTCGGAAGTGAAGGAATGTTACAATCAAGCGGTACAAAAAGCTGGCTATAGGCACAGAGAACGGAGGAAATTCCTGAGAACTGCCTTGAAAGAATTAGGTTTAATTCTTACTGACCAGCCTGGCCTCTTGGGACCGAAAGCACTGCTGGTCTTAATGGGTCTCTCTCATGCGAGAGATGAGGTATTATGGCTACTAAGACATGGGGACAATCCTCCTACCCAAGGCAAAGGCAAAGGACGAGGTGGTGAGGACTTGGTGGACCGACAGTTGCCGGAATTACTCTTCCACTGCGAAGAATTAAGAGCTTTAGTAAAAAAGTATTCTCAGGTGCTCCAAAGGTATTACGTCCAGTTCCTCGCGGGATTCGACGCCCCTGCTCTACATCAAATGATACAGAATCTTCCGGTCTGCCCCGAGGACGAGGGAGCTATTCTTAGTGATATGTGTTCAACTATAGCTAGTCTCACGGTGAAGCAAGTTGAGGAGAATGAATTGTTTGATTTCCGTGCCTTTCGACTGGATTGGTTCAGGCTGCAGGCTTATATGTCTATCGCGAAAGGCAATATGAATTTGGCTGACAACAGAGAATTAGCTTCCTTCATGGACACGGTGATCTTCCATACGAAAATGGTCGACAATTTGGATGAGATGCTAGTCGAAACGTCCGACTTGTCCATTTTCTGCTTCTACAGCAAGATCTTTGAGGATCAATTTCACATGTGTCTCGAGTTTCCCGCTCAGAATCGGTACATCGTCGCTTTCCCGCTCATATGCAGCCACTTCCAGAGCTGCACCCACGAGCTCTGTCCGGAGGAACGTCATCATATTCGCGAGAGGAGTCTCTCCGTTGTCAACATGTTCTTGGACGAGATGGCTAAGGAGGCCAAGAATATCATCACGACCATTTGCGACGAGCAGTGCAACATGAGCGACAAGCTCTTACCGAAACACTGCGCTCTACTGATATCGCAAGTTGTCAATCGCAAGAAGAAAGACAAGAACAAGAAGAACATGTACGAGATTCATAAGCCCGGCATAGAGAGCTTCAGGAAGACCCGGGAAGAATTAACGACGATGGATAAGCTGCATATGGCTCTCACCGAGTTGTGTTACGCGATCAATTACTGTCCTACCATCAACGTCTGGGAGTACACTTTCGCGCCGAGGGAGTATCTGCATCAACATCTGGAGTCGCGATTCGCTAGAGCTCTCGTGGGGATGGTCATGTACAATCCGGACACCAGCGAGATAGCCAAGCCGTCGGAGCTGTTCGTCAGCGTTAGATCTTACATGAACGTCCTTCAGACCATCGAGAATTACGTGCACATAGATATCACGCGCGTCTTCAACAATGCCCTGCTGCAGCAGACTCAAGAGCTGGACAGTCACGGCGACAAGACCATAGCCGCGCTCTATACTCAATGGTACTCGGACGTCTTGCTGAGGCGAGTCAGCGCCGGCAATATCTGCTACTCGGCGAATCAAAGGGCGTTTGTCAGCCTGTCGGTGGAAGGTGCCATCCCCTTTAACGCCGAGGAGTTCTCCGACATTAACGAGCTGAGGGCATTGGCGGAATTGATAGGGCCGTACGGCATGAAGATGTTGAACGAAAATTTGATGTGGCACATCGCCAGTCAGGTGCAACAGTTGAAGAAGTTGGTGACGGGCAACCGGGACGTGCTGGTCGCTCTGAGAACGAACTTCGACAAACCGGAGGTGATGAAGGAGCAATTCAAGAGGCTGCAACATGTGGACAATGTTCTTCAGCGAGTTACCATAATAGGCGTGATCCTGAGCTTTCGGCAATTGGCACAATCCGCGTTGGTCGACGTGCTGGAGGAACGTATTCCGTTCTTATTGAGCTCCATATTGGACTTTAGACATCATCTGCCTTCCGGCGACCCGATGCGCGTCGTCTCCGAGATGACTTCGGCCGCAGGCTTGACCTGCAAGGTCGACCCCACCTTGACGACCGCCTTACGAAACCAGAAGGGCGAGCCTGAGGAAGACGAGCATTTGTTAGTGTGCCTGTTGATGGTCTTTGTGGCGGTCTCCATTCCGAAATTGGCTCGGAATGAGAGCTCGTTCTACCGTGCGTCGCTCGAGGGCCACTCCAACAACATACACTGCATGGCCACCGCCATAAACAACATATTCGGGGCATTGTTCACGATTTGCGGGCAGAACGACATAGAAGATAGAATGAAGGAATTTCTGGCCTTGGCTTCCTCGAGCTTGCTGAGATTAGGCCAGGAAGCGGACAAGGAAGCGACCCGAAACCGAGAATCCGTCTACCTACTGCTCGACCAGATAGTCCAGGAGTCCCCGTTCCTGACGATGGACTTGCTAGAAAGCTGCTTCCCATACGCACTGATTCGCAACGCATATCACGACGTGTACAAGCTAGAGCACTCGCAACCGTAAGCTTCACAGCGAGGGAGTTGCGAGGCAGGAGACCGGGTGCTGCATTAATCTAACTTGCCACTCAGGGCCATTTTTTCTACGTCCACGTACATCGGAGGCAATCGCGAGCAATTTGCTGTTAAATGTAAAACGCGGCCGTATGCTCTGTTTCAAACTGGTCCGAACACTTTCTTTTCCACGATGCAACTCTCGAAGCAGTCGATGGAAGCCGACGAGAGAGAGAGAGAGAGAGAGAGAGAGAGAGCTCAAGTTTTCAGAATGAACCAAAATGAATTCCGAGTATCGGAATCCGTCGATTCCAGCGTGTTGAACTGCACCGAGGGAAAAATAGTGTTAAAACTGCATCGAAGCAAAGTGTGCAATGATAACGTTTCGGATGAAGCGGAATTCCGGCTACGTATCGAGATGCAAAAGTACAAGCGGAGGCTGACTGAAGAGGTGGTGGGAACGCGTACGATCGTTCGTAGGATTGAGCATAAAGATGCAACTGCTCGGCATTTTAACATAACGACGCAGGTTTGCGGTTATCGAAATGCATTTTTAGCGTTCTCTCCTACGTTGCTTTTGCGTTGCGGTATATCGCGCACGTCGCATCACGTCACGTCACGTACAATCGGGATTTGTGTTTCCTCCTTTTCTTCTCGGACGCCGGTATAATTGAATACTACCTTTTTATCGAGAAAAGATCTTTATTATAAGGTAAATGAATGAACGGACAATTTGTCGAGACTCGCGGACTTTCGTAATAACAGCCGCGACGATGCATTTTGTAATGTACAGTGTATCTCTAGTTTACATTTGACATCCGGCTTGAAGTATTCATTAGTACATAAGTGCATATCTTAAATTCCAGTCGAGTATTAATTATACTTTAACGTGAAAGAACTTTTGTATTGCACGGGGGTCGCACGATGTAAGCTCCCATTCGATTCCAGGCTAAAGATCGCGATATTCATGTATCACTCAGTAGGTATCGTCACTCACCCACTATGACTTTTTAATGTACAATTGTAACTTTTACAATAGTTTATATAATAAATAAAACTATGTGTAAAACAATTCGCAATATCCTCTGTTCTATTTTTCTTTTTTCCTTTTTGTTTCCCCAACTCGGGTCCGCCGACGGGCCATGGCCGACGGCCCCAAAAATCACACGCCGGTAAATGTAAAATGTATGCTTTATTTAATTCTTTACAATGTTTTTGTCTCTTTTAATCACATTAACATAACACAAGAGATATTCACAATCATAATCCTTTTATTTATAATATCCTTAAAACACTCGCCGCAATTTTTTTTTTTTCTTTTTATTCTTCTAGACATTTTGGGAAAAGAGAGAGTGGTGGTCTGAAGCTACGTTCAGGCGATTGGTCAGTATCATGCTCAGTTGTAACTTACAATAAAGAGAGATATACTTCGAAAAACGCATCGCTCGAAGTTGCACCGACTAAAATGTAGAGATACGGCACGAACGTAAGGGCCACTTGGGGTATGGTGATATCCAAGTAACACTCTGAATTAAAAAGAAAAAGGAGGAAGGGGGTGGGGGAAAAGAAACGTACGATTCATCGGCGAAACAATTCGTCCGCGAAGTGATCGGTACAAAGGGCACGAAGTTACGCTTAAATAATCCCGGATGCACGATGTTGATAGGTCACCACGTTTTTGGATCGATAGAAAAAATATAATCTTCGATTTGTTTTTTGTTCTCTCCTCTCTAACATTATGTACAAGTGATAGAGTAGTATGTGCATCGCGTCACAGTGATGCGGCTCTGGATTAAGATAAGTAAATATGGGCACCACCATCGCGACGGCCTTAGAGATTTCGAGATTATCGTTATCGTATCGACGGGTTATTTTACGTATATATATTTTTTTTACATATATAATATATTTATATATATAATATATATATATATATATATATATATATATATATGTATGTATATATATAATCGATGACTCGACGACACACGTTACGCCACTGCGACGATTCGCGATGCGGGTTTATTATTACGAGGGGCGCGGGAAGGAGGGAGAGAGGCAAGGGGAGCCGATTGATTGAACTCGCATCTTAATCCAGATGTCGCGGAAACGAAGAAGCTTAAGCATATGTAGTAGAGGTCTCCTGTGGGACAAATGATGAAGGAAAAATTGATTCTTATCTCTTATATCGCCTTTTTCGTACGCGCAAGCAACTTCACAAGTCAACTAGTAACTACGCCCTGACCCCACTCCACGTCCGTTCTTTAGGCTTTTCTTCTTTTTTTGTTTTTGTTTTCAAGACGCAACGAGGCATCGCTATCTATACTTCTTGTCTTCTCTCGATATTCTACCTTTGACCTTTGATCATTCAGTCGTCCGAAGTGGTAGTGGCAGTGAGATGGAAGCAAAAAAGTAGTTCGCGCATCGCTAAGTCGTTTTCTTCGATCGGTTCGTTCCGCAGGCGAATACTAACTACCTCGAGATTGCTCATCAAATGGCAGTGGCTCGGAACGAAGCGATCGTCCGGAAATTCCTGATGACTGTTCGAGCGACGTCGTTTGTACACACAGTCGCACTTTTTGTCTTTCCTCTCAGCATACGGAAAAAATTTCTTTTCTCTCCAGCGTAAAAGGAAATTTCAAAACGGATGTATAAAAAGTCTCCTTTTCGTCTAAGACGGTTGTCTAAAAGACACTCACGAAAATTGCTTCAACAATTCTGTCGAGAGTTCGGGTGAGACCGCAACTAACCGTTCGTTTACGAGGGCGCGAGGGCAATGAGTTTCTCTAACGATATATGCTATATAACGTATTAGAATTAATCGAAGACTCGAATTTTGCCTCGTTACGCTTATTGGCAGTAAGTCACATCCGCGCGATCTGTGCGCCGCGGATTGTCGCTTCGCATAAAAACAAAAGTGAACCGCACAATGTTGTCACGGGCGACTGCGAGTGGGGTCAAACGGAATTCCTTTGCACCTACACGCGAGAAATGTTCGAAACTTCCTAGATAACGTTGATCGTACGATTCCGCCGGTCCACGATGGATCGTTACAGAAACTTATCTTTAAAACCTAAAGGGCTCTCGATTACACGCACGTACAGACACTCGTTCGTCAACCTTAACTTCCGCGTTCCTGATTACAAAATACAGAATAATATTTCGCTATAATACAGATTTGATATAAAAAACAAGTATTTTTTGTATTCGCTTTACCATTTGTTATGGTTATATAATCATTTCATAATATTAGTATATTTACACAGATATACACGCTCACAGTCTCTATCTCGCGTTCTCTCATTTCACTCATGCTATCGCCTGGCACGCCCGAAGAACTTTTACTTTCCGTCTCGGCATTTTCCTCTCGTACTCCCGCTTTCTCTCTCTCTCTCTCTCTCTCGCTAACTCTCTCGCTCTCACAAGATCTCGTATGATCCAACTAATAATCACATTGCGTCTATTGTACATTTCCACACGATCCGCAGACTCGTATTATTAGCGTCTTTGCTGGCACCTCCTCGTTTTTAATCCTGCATCCCTGTATCCATCTTTTCGCCTAGACAAAACACTCTTAAAGTTACAACGCAGAGAGTTGTAGTTGCAAGTTGTTTAATTGCGAATAGACACACAGTGATATACGAATCACACCGAATTAATCAACAGCCGTGAACACGATGGAATTCCTCTGTCTCTACGCTGCATGAGTTTCTTACATAACCGATAAAACGTGGAGCCCGATGTAAATCTTTTTTCTTTTCTCGCGCGCGAATATGATCTCGTCGTGTTTGTAAAGTAACAAGGACGACACCTAATGCTCGTTACTATCTTATCTGCGCTGTACTTTAACGTATAAGTGTCCTGTTATATGAACGATTGTAAATGTAAAGCTGATGAAGAGTTACGAGGCCAATTTCTTAATTCACCATTTGGAGAAAATCGCGCTCGTTTCGTTAAATCGTTATAGAACAGTTTATGAGTAAAAGTGACAAGTGTTTACTAACAGTCATAAGAACGAGTTACAATGGGTCACAAGAAAATAAATCTAATTTCAACGAGCACGCGTTCGTGCAATTATTCTCTGAGACTTTGGATCTCGGATTTGATGTTACTGCTAACTTGAATGTGCTTCTCTCACATTTTTGCGTTATCATCCGCCGTCACATTGATAAGACAATCCGAACAAGATCGAACACAGATCTCGACGTTGGCGCATTTCTTCTCTTCTTGCTCTTCTTCTTCTCCGTCTTCTTCTTTTTCTTTTTTTCTTCTCTTCTTCTTCTTTTTCTTTTTTTTTTTCCATATTTGCATCAGATTTGGCGTTTCGGAGAAGGGAAGTGCACATTGATCGTATCGACAATGGTTTAACAGCACCAGATACGATTCATCACGAGGATGAAAACCGATCTCGTGTTTATCGCTTACGAGTATGCAGCTGTGTATATGTGAGCCCATGTGTATATATATATATATATATAAAACATGTCACGTCTCTCTCTCTCTCTCTCTCTCTCTCTCTTTCTCGATAAGAGGGCTCGTCTTTGGTCCGCTATACGCATAGTCGCGCGTTTACGGTGCAGCCCCCGACTTAATAGCATGTTAAAACTCGTATTTAATTAAATATAACATTCGCAAAGATAAATTATCATCTGCAGGACATAACTAATTAATAATATTAATGTAATAATAATAATAGTATTAATAAGCATACTCTTAGTAATAATCAATATCATCTTCGTTCATGTGTAATAGTTAATGGAATATCGCTACAGAAACGCATTACATTTTGTTGTTGCTGCTCTTACATCTCTCGTAATAATCTCTCGCATAGCATCACTCACTTCAATTGGCTAATACAAATTAGTATAAGAATAATAATACATATCGTTAATTATTAAACTACAATGGTACAGAGATCAAGCGAATGACCTGTGATGGTTTGGTAATGGTAGAGTGCCATTTCGCTCCAGAAAGTCGTTTACAGATCAGTCATCGAAACTGTGAACATATAAACAACATTGTATGCACGGTGAAATATTTTTTATTATCAGTCTCGAGCTTTTTTTTTCGTTTCTTTTGCGCGTCACGCGAATGAGTCGTTTGGTGCATCAAGTCATTGAATTAAACTGGCGTGTATGCATGCTGCCATCTGACAATAAGATTACATTCGAGTGGGAAACGATTTTTCGCGCAATACGCGTCAAGTTTTATCAATATAAACGGACTACTATTAAAACGAGGTCTTTGGAAAACTCATTTATAACGTATATGCCTATACAATGCATCACGTACGGACGTATTGTCTTATTGCCGATCTCCTACTGAACTCGCATTTAATATCTAACGAACAAAGCCACACACCCCTTCTTGAACTCTAACTTTCGGGAGCGACATGCACAGATACATACATCACGGAGGACGTCGTCACGCAAAGATCGTTTATGATCTCGGCCTTAAATGCTCGAAGTGTCGAAGGGCGAAGATGCGACGCGGTTTAACAACACCGTCGCGTTTAGCGCGCTGTGCAAGCACAGTGCTTGTCGCGGTCGCTAAAGCGAAATGAATCACACATTGGATCGATTTAAATTACTTTGATCATATAACAATATCACCCCCGCTAGCGAAGGGCGAAGGTTGCCCGAAGCGTTCTAGAATTTGATCATGCGACGAGTTCTCGAGGAACGACGACACGAGAGACCATATATTGGTGCTACATAAAAAAGGTTACATATATATATATATATATATATATTTATATATATATAAAATCTTCGGAATTCTTACGATTCCCGATATATATTGTTTATTCTATTACATCCTGGCTCCGGCCAACTCGCGATCTTCCGGGTCGCCGTTCGCAGTGTCTGGCCTAGCTGAAATCACATCTACCGAAACCGATACAAAATGAGAGATCACGATTTGATCACGGATGCGTACTTTCTTCGTATCTACAAGTAACGCGCGGCTCTCTTCGTCGTGATGTCAATTGAACGCAACTCAGGTGAAGGCGCGTACCGCCGGACCTCTCAATCTGTTCGCACGTCGACCATCGTGCCGTATCACCGCGCCGTATCTCGTCGTTATTGCTTCGACCTCGGTCACAAGACATCGTCGCGTTCCTCACGTGGAGTGGTGGATCGGTTCTCTTCGCATTTGGCAATCGTTTTACACAACGACTCGTGGTGCAACGCCGCGACTGGTGGTCCTCGTCCGTGACGACGTCCTAGGGTCGTCACACCTTGTTGTGATGCCTCATCTCATAGGCTGCGCCCCTCCCCCCTCCCCCGGAGCCCGAATAGGCGCCGGCGTACAGTTCTGGGTGGTTGGAACGGCCGTAGTTGTCTGCTGACCTGCTATTTGGTGGCGCACTAGCTGTGGGAACCGAGCGATAGCCTGCTTAAAGTTTAGAAAAATGTTCGACAATGAAACGAAACATATAACTAAAAGAAACATCGGGGTATGCGAGGACAGAGTTGCTGGCGAGATGTGTATCAGATATTATCATAATTACGGCAAATCAATTACGGCAGCGTGGAACCAGCCACAGTGCGATCTCCACGCTTTTCGCGTAGCCCTCGCCTGTACTGCTCCCTTGTTACCCCCGCCGTGTCTAACTACAGCGTAATTTTGGAAAAGCATAATTCTCGGAGTTGATGCGAGATAATGCAATCGATGGTGCGAAATCAGAGGAGAGAGAGAGAGAGAGAGGGGGGGGCAGAGGGGGGGAGAGAGAGAGAGAGAGAGAGAGAGAGAGAGAGAGAGAGAGAGAGAGAGAGAGAGAGAGAGAGAGAGAGAGAGAGGAGTTTGCTTATGGAAACTCCTATATCAACGGGGACATACACACGGGGAAGAAAAAAGTATTCCAGCTAGAGCATCCAGTGCATTGCCATGAATAATGAGCAAGGAGCAAATGCAAGAAATCTGCGGATTTTTCATTGACTTTGCAATTAAACGTCAACTTGGAGCTTTGTCGGTCGCACGCGACGGCGATCTCCGCATTCATGAATTTGCTCCTATCAAGCGTATAGAATATAGGCCCCAGCTCACCTCTGCAGGTCATAGAACGATAGTATCAGGTAGTGATGCGCGTCAATGCGAGGGAGATGCAAACAGGAAAAGACATTGATGTAGTTGCGGGTCACACAAGGACGAAGAACGCGAACAACGTTGACTTGAGCTTAATTCGTGTCTTAAGTCTTCCAGAATTAATTTAAGGTCTTTCTCTTTACATATCACAGCATAGACACGTGGTATGCGCGCGGGAATTAAACTCAAGCAACGGAAAATGCATGGACGACTACGATACGTTAACCCACCTTTTGGATAATACTGAGCACCTCTACCCTCTCCGTAACCATGAGAGGGTCCACGCGTCCCGTGTCCACCTTGACTTGGTCTCGGAGGTATACTTCGTGGGCCAGCTCCTCCTCCGCCGTGCGGGTGTCGCTGCAATAGATATGGCAAGTAATGAAACGCGCGCGAGGAATATCATTATCATTACTTGTGGGTATCTCTCGCTCGAAATTTCGACGGAAAACGTTCCGCGAAACTTTTTTTTCTTACCATCCTCCTAAGAGTATTCATCGGTCTTGTTAACGTGTCGCTGATGCGCCTCGCAGGCGGCTTTTTAGGATTAGTGGAAGGAATATGCACGGCGCAACACTTGATAAATAGTCCCATAAATATGATGAAAGCTATGCCCATCAGCAGTACAGCCCACCAAAATTCCTGCCGAGGAAAAGGACGGTGTCACGCGCGAAATGTTACTGTTAAGGTGGGTCGAATAGTCGAACGAGACGTTTGCACTTACAGTCACCCATTGCGCAACCGTTGATAAGGTCTCCTTGTTAAACAAAAGATTCTTCAGCCTAGCGAGCGGCCCTTCCGTGTCGACGGCTCTACACTTCAAGAAAACGTCGCAATAGCCCTGAAAGAGGAGAGAGTAAACACGCGTGAACGTCCGGTGACTACAGCTCGGCTGCCGGAGAGTATTTTATTTACGTCCGTACGTTGGGACACCGTTCGATCATTCATACCTGAAAGTTATCGCAGGGCGAGCCGGGTCTCAGGCTCATGCCACCCTCGGGCAGTCCCACCATGTGCGCAAACTCGCTCGTACCGCGACACGTCGACGCATCGGTGCCATTTTGACAGGCTAATTCGCAGAGCTTTCGCTTGTCGATGTTCGGTATGATGCTGCTCGTTAAAAAGCACTCTGTCAGATTCCACTCCAGGCAAATGGATCCGGTACACTCGCCGTTGATGCACAGCTGTAGTAAATAACACGTTGTTGAAACGCGAGCGTCTCGACGCCGTTAAATCATCGCCGGGCATCGCCGCGCAGAGATAACAAACACAGTGCGATTACCTGAGTGCCCTCGTTACATCTGGTCTTATTGGCCCTCGGTAGCGGCGCTGGACATTCGGAGGATCTGCCGTTGCAGGTAGAGTTGTAACTGCAGTCTGATTCGGCCTTGCATTGAACCTTATGGGACAGGGGCACGAACTGGCACGTGTCGCTCGAACAGCAAGGTCCTTGACTGGGACTGCAAATTACGCGTAATTACCCACGCATGAGGGATGCGATTTCACACAACAGAGACATTCGATGAGCCGACGTCACACAGATTCGCTCGGAACAACACCAGGTGCGTGTCACCGCGAGCGCATACCTGCACTGTGTCCCGTACTTCCTATTGCAGCCTTTCGCTGTTTCGTTTTTGATTTTATCCATATCGGACACCTGCCTGGGATAACAGCACTTGTCCGTGCACTCGTCGTCATCGTATCCGCAATCGCATTCCTCGCCGGCCTCGACGATCTTGTTCCCGCAAAACGCCCCTGTGGATAAAGAATGCAGCATATCGATCAAACTTGGCCCTACTACCGGCTACCGGGATACTACCGGCGGGATTTGGAAAACGGCGCAGTTTCGATTTTATCCCGCTCATTCCATCCCGCAATATCGCCGATGGGGCGTGATGGGAAATCTCGAAACGTATATATGAAAGTACCGGTGAAACAGTTCCTCTTCTTGTTATCCTCGATAGCATCTAGAACGTTACTGATATTGCCAATGCTGCACTTTGAAAATTTGCTGTTGTTCGGTCGATTTCCGCTCGTCGCTGAGGCGAACATAATGTAATTGCCGTCCAAGCCGCCAGGTCTGCATTCCGGCGGAAAATCGTGCTGGAACGAAGATGAGATCGTTATCTTCGCTCTGTCTCTGTCCCTCGTCAGTCCCGAGCGAGCCGTGCACGCGCGTTCGCGCGTCGAGAGAGAAGAGAAGACGTTTGGCTTACCGGTGATCCGAAATTATGTCCGATCTCGTGCGCCAGAGTCAGCTGCGACACTTTGGGCGGTACTCGGCTGTTGTAATTCACGAATGTGATGATGCCGGTGTTCAAGGACCGCTTGGTGGACTGATACATGCCGCCCACGGTCTCGGTGTAGGTCTTGTACTTCTCGCAGATACCGCCGGACGCGCCGGACGCGGACGCGACCCAGGCGAGCCCGAGTGTGCCTCCGGTGAAATCCCTGTCGGGGAACGGCGTTTACAGGAGCGTTCACACAGGACGTTGCACACGCGTTGAAAAATGCGCAATGAAAAATGTAGCGGAATGTAAGCAAGTAGACAAATCGGCGGCGCGCCTGTGTGCACCGTTCTCGGGCACAATCATTAGTTTCGCCTCGGGCAACAATCTTTCTAGACTCGGGGAGAAATATGACGGGAAAAGTATCAAAATATATTAGAAAGATTATTTAACAAAATTGTCTCAGTGTCTGGATTTCACTGGACTGCGACTTTTTCGCGCAGGAGAGCGCAGACGAATTTTTCTTTCGCTCACCTGTAGGTGAAGACATAGGCTAGGCAGAAATCCTCGTGATTCCCGAGGGAGTGCAGATTTAGAAAGTTGCTGACGTCGATGTTCTCCATGCAGAACGGGTTCGGCTCGTTGTACGTCTGTTGTTGCGTGCAGGCCGTGTCGTCATCGATCTGATATCAGATACAGCGAGAACGGGTCAATCGCGAGACGTGTACTCTCTCTCATCACATCGACCGCTTATTGAAGCAGCGGCGGCGGCTATATATATATATTCGGACACGGTACCGTTACCTTTATTCGTTGGACCTCGAATTTGATGTTTCTATGCTCTATCCTGCCGTCGAATCTCGTGTCCCTGTAGATGTAGTTGACGGCGGTGACGTGGTGGGCGATCAAGGACAATATCTCCTCCCTGGTTTTCTCCGCGTCGTGATGTAACTGCGAAGCCAAACGCGTGATTCAGTACTCTCGCGCACAGACAACACTTCGATGCTATTCCACCTCTTTTCCCCTCTCCACTCCTTTCTTCTCCGCTCCCCCGGTAACGCGGGATTATATTCCAGCCGTGCATTCGACGGGATTACCGTCGCGCGAGAGTTTTCAATCTTCAATATTAAATATCGCTGCTAATTAAGCTTCGAATTGAATTCCCAGCGGGAGAGCGAGAGCGTTCGCGAAATTAATTACAAAAATTACCGTGATCCAGTTATTCGCCAGCACTTGTTGGAGCTGAACGTGTGAGAATTCTCAGAGTATATAACGTCAGATATTTCTCGTCTAATCAAAATTCCCCGGAAACTTCGCGAGATTCAACGTAAAAATCTGTCGAAAAATCTGTCATTAAAATAGCCTCCGGTGGAATGCGCTGTATGCAGTATACACCATGGCGATATCAAAGGCCGCTGAAGGACGAGGAGGTCGGGCATATTCTTTTTGCGAAGAATGCCGGAATGCGGGTGGTGTCTGGCTTGTTGAGAAAATGCAAAGGGGGAAATTGCACTGACCGTGCTGCCGACGAAAACGCATATGAATGTGACCATAGGAAGAGAGAACGGCCGGTATTCAAGGTATTTCCCTATTGTGCAAGGAGATACTGGCATTCTCCGGTTGCAAATTGCCGCTTAGAATTGGGTCATCCCATCGTTATAACGATCTACGACCTTGCCTTTTATCCTTTTATTATTACGATTACAAACGTTCGTTCGCTCTTTTTCCCGTACAATCACACTATTTTATGCGCCGTCGCTCGATGAGAATTAACGATGAGAATAATAAAAAAGACAAAAAGACGCGTTCGGAATACATTCGTCGCAGGAGCGACGAAGTCGTAAAAGTGTCTCTAATGACGCGGCTCTCTTGTGATACGTAACACGAGAGGCTTCTCGACGGACGAATTTAACAGATTTTTCAAGCGAGAGAGAAATGTATTCTCTCTTTGCGAATCTCCAAATATATATATTACGAGTATATATCCGTTCACGTATATTCTCGAGAATATGTTTGCAGAGATATTATTTCAAAAATAAAATATTTCAACTTTAAAAATTTAATTCACGCGCGACAGATCGCGCGCGCCTGTGCGATTTTCAATCGGTCAATTAAGATTTAGGAGACGCTTGCCCGCGGCAAATCTACAGGATTCGCATTCGGAAAATTTCGTTTCCCTTACCTGTTCGGAAATATGCCTCCATATGAGAGGATCCGTTTGTATGAAGAGCGAGCAGGTGTTGTTCTCCTTCGACCTAGTCGCTCTTCGTGGTCTGCGATGACTAGGTTCATTGGCTTCTCTACTGTATTTATGACCAGGACTCTCCTGGTCCCCGTTCCAAGGTGCGACATTTGGTTTCGGCTCCTTCTGATTCACCGACGCGAATGTCTTAAGTGGCAGATCCGGCTCGGCGGAATTCTGTATCTTCTCCATCCATTCTATCACTTCGTCGGTAATGCCACACCCGCCGGAATCCCCTTAAAAATTCACCGTCGAGACGATGATAGTTTCACAGTTCGAAACATGCCATTATTAGATCGTAAATAAACGCTGAGAAGTAATCTCAAGAATAAACGTTCGCTCAAGGAACACGTTTGGAAATATCCGCGAGTTATGGAGTTGAGAAATTTATCTACCCGTTATATTTTACGAGAATTCCATTGCACATAACTTCGTAAAATACATAGCCTACAAACTTGAACGTCCAACAAGAGACGAGACGAGATATATTTAGAATCCGCAGAGATCGCGATTTTCGCTCTCATTAATACAAGAGACATTTCCTTAATTGTCCGAATTTCATAGAGCCTGTCTGAATACATTATAAAAGAAACAATTAATCGTATCGATTCGATGGATGCAGATGTGAATGTGTGTGTGTGTGTGTGTGTGTGTGTATCAGGTATACAGGAGCATTGCGGATGAAAAGTGCTGCGCGTAAGTGTGATATACCGAACAGGTTTACGAGTACTCGTCTGTGCAAACTTGACGGCTGAGAAAAACATCGTCGAGTCTTAAAACCCTCCTCTGTCGCAGTCAGCGATGTGAGTTCGTATATAAGAGAATGCCCGTAAATGTGTGTTTGCCCCGTATAAAAGTACTCCACGTCTGAGACCCAGTCGTCCATCTTAATCGGAAGAGTCGCGGGAGACGTGACGAGCGCGAGCCGTCGCAGGAATCTCTGACAATAAAACGAGCAGTTACCATCGAATAATTGAACAAACACAGAAACACCATTCATGGAACGCCACGAGCCATCAACCACACGAAGCCTCGCTAAGAGAGCCGACCAAGGAACGCAAAGCGTGTGCGAGAAAAAATGTAGAGACACCGGAGAAGACTCGTGCGCTTTTCAGCTTCTCCTCGTGCGCGTCGTCTCACTGCTCTTCTCCGACATCTTTGCGTCTGCAACTGTCGATTTGCATGGCGCGCGCTGTTACAAGTTACACAGAGCGTTTTCGACTAGAAATTTATCCCTTGGTCCTCATCAGGTTAACCTCATTTGGACATCAAGTCCCAATAAGGTAATACTATCGGGTCCTAGTAAGTCGTGTAACGCAACGTGGATATCAGGACCTTAGTAAGGATTCATAGTCAGGTCCTTATTGAGTTACCTTACGGAATCTCTGTTACGTTTTTTTTTTTCAAATTATGGCTCCTGATTACTCGCCACGGCTATATTGGATGATGACATTAGAAATAAGAAATGATACGCTGAAAACTCTCTCATGTCATTTTAAAATAAAAAGATATTTGCATGAAATAATATTTTAGATCGCTTGAGCATATGGTACTTGTAAAGTGTTTCGGAAAAGAAACATAAAATGAATATCATAAGATCATCAAGTATCACAAGGTGACAAGACATAAAGTAGTGTTAAAGAGAAAAGTTGCATGTCACGTTAATTTTACAACTATTTATTGACTGCTAAGAAAAGGATAGTTTCTATAGCATTTTACAAATATATTCAAGTGATCTGAAGTGTTTTTTTCAATGCAAACATCTTTATATTTGGAAAAGATACCCAAAAATTATTTTGTTAAAACTTGATAATGCAAATCATATTAGGTACAATGAATAAGATCCCGACAAGAGACCTGATTAACTGAACCATACTATATCATATACTAGGTTGGTACATAAGGTCCTAATGTGGACCCAATTATTATAATCTTATAAAGGTCTTCCTTACTCATTTGTCGTTAGGACATTATAAGGACTGACTTATTTAGGATTATCTTTCATTTATCCTATTAGGTCCTTATCAATGTTAGGTGAACCTGATCAAAATTTCTAGTCGGGTTGTTTATCCATTAGGATGAGAACAGAGATTCCGGACAGAGAGAGAGAGAGAGGGGGGGAGAGAGAGAGGGGGGAGAGAGAGAGGGGGAGAGAGGGGGAGAGAGAGCCGGGTGGAATAATGGAGACGTCCTGGCGCGTTCTGAGATGCGTGTTACACGGAAATCTGGCAGAGCGCGAGTCGTAAGCATTCCGGGGGAACGCCGCAAGATGGCTAATTAATGGCGAAGTTCATTATTTCTGGATCCGGTCGTGGAACTCGAAACATTCACGAGCCACGTGGGAGCCGTGCATCATCGATGGGCGCGGAATACGTAGCGCTTCGGATTCTCTCCCGTGTAGGCCGGAGTCTGCCTCCTCGCACTCCTTAAGATTCGCCAGGTGGGTGTGGGCCGAATAATGATGACGCGGAAGCCAAGTCACGTGCCGCGCAATCTGTACGGCCCCGGATCCCGTTGTCAGCGAGAGACAGAGGCGCGCGGCTTAATCATCGGCGCAATTCCGCAATACGCTCGAGTTATCTGCGTAAAGCGAATACACGCGGCATAATGTGGCGACTAATGGCGACCTTGTCGCGCTCCCTCGGGTGTCGTACCATCGCGCCTCGCAACGTCGGCCGTTATACGTGCTGGCGTCTACGCGAGAACTCGCCAGAGAGAGAGAGAGAGAGAGAGAGAGAGGGAGAGAGCAACTCGATTGCTGCTATCGGGTCGGCCATTCCGAAGTGGAAACGTCTTCATATTCGATACGGCAGGGGCGTTGGCGTTCTGCAGCAGCTCTTCGTGATTGTTATGTGCTGCCCGTACTTTGAAAGTCTACGAGGAACGACGCTCTTACCGTCGCCGTATACACGACGCTCTCTTTCCTCCTCTCTATAAATTTTCACTCCTCTTTGCACCGATCTTCTTCATCGGCCGATAGTTTCGCAAAACTATCGGAGAGGTAGACGACGACGTCCAAGCGATCTCATTTCCGCGATAATTGCCGTCGGTTTCTTTTTGAAATAGGACGTCCGCGGAAATGGGACGTCCCATCGGGAGGGAAATACCGTCTTGCGCAGTTCATACGGTGACGTTAACGAACCGAGATCAACGACGTGCCCCGATATCGCAGTGGATACTCTCTCTCTCTCCCTCTCTCTCTCTCTCTCTCTCTCGTATTTCTTCCCTCGACGGGGGAGGCATTCCCCCAGTAAGGACGAATCAATAAGGCCACGCTGTTGATATAACCGAGATAATCGCGCCGACTATCGTCAGCTTTACTGGCTGAGTTAATCGTGAGCCGCGAGCTTTAATGGCTCGACGTTCCAGATGTGACGGTATCGCCCATCGTCTGTGCTAATCCTGTCTATGTGGCAGCGTTAACTCGGATCATGGTCGCGCAAGATGAAAAGGAAAGAAACGTCGACGCGAGAAGACGCGTCGAGCTGCTCCTCGTTCGCCTCGCTCTTCTTCGCGTGTGCTCTACGCCCGTTTTCCCGAATCAGCAGCGACGAATTTTTCCGGCTATTTGTGTGTAATTCATGCAAATAGCGAAAAAAGATCAGTTCTATGCATGGTAAAAAAAGTTGCCAGTCCGGAAACTCTGCCCTCGATGTTCACGAGCGATCGCTTGTTTTTTTCTTATTTTAAGTAAGCGTTCTCTCGCTGTTCCTCCTCGTCTTTTAATACCACCCACCGCGTCTAGTAGCGCCTCGGATGTGGAGCTGCGAGGAGGATTTGGTCCTAGTACACCAAGTACACTCCACTGCATTCCGTTCTTCTCCTCCTCGTATCATCATCGTGCCTCGCACAGCGCTCCAATAAATGTAGCAAACTCATAACGTCGGACGTATATTTCCGGAGAGCAAACATGGCGGGATGATGCGATTTGGTCCAGGCGGTAGAAACGTGCGGCGCACAGAGAGAGAGAGAGAGAGAGAGAGAGAGAGAGACGGCCGCGATAAATATTACACGCGATACGCTTGCCTGTTTATTTCGACGTTGGCCATTTGCGCCACCGCCATCAAGACGCGGCGGCCGGCGGTGAATCGCGAGAAATTCGCGCGGATTCAAGACGAGACTCCGCCGCTCCTACGCGAATGGACTACTTTCATCCTTAACGATACCGTAAATGGTGCGTAGAATTCGTATGCCGCCGCGGACTTTCCGATATCCATATCCCCCGCATAAACGATGCAATCTCCCTATGCCGGCCCGCTATATTCCTTGATGGCGCAATACGCGGGGACGCTATCAGGAGCCGAGCACTTTCGTTCCAATGGCTAATCTTCTGACAAGTTTGGAATTAATTCCGCCTCGGGGAGAATTTCGCCCGATTATAAACAGTCAACGAATCGCGACAAATTAAACTTTCCGCCGAGGGCCGGCGGATAAGCGTAAACAGATAAAAGAATTCTACGGGGGAAGTTTACTTTAATTGAAACTTCGGTTCGCAACCGAAAGTGCGCGGGGAGACGATGGAATCTCCCTCTCTCTCTCTCTCTCTCCCTCTCTCTCTCTACCGATCGATCTAATTCTCAGGATAAATCGGCGAGCCCGGAGCCTTCGTTGGCGGCTCAATCTCTACGATTTTGAGAAATGAGCTGCGTGTCTCGAATCGTTTATTACTGAACTAAATCGCGTAAAAAAGTTACTCTAAATAACGGCTAAATAGCGCACGCAGCGACGTGAGTCGAAATTGGAAATTGGATGTTTTGAAGGGCGACTGCTGAAGAATCGCAGTGGAATTCGGGAGAGGAGGACGAGAGAAGTGGGCGCATCGCGTGACAAAGGCGAGCGCGACGAGAAGCGGAGGCCGCGCTGTCGTGAGGCGCCAACTTGGAGGTCGCATTCATTGAACAGCCTATCCAGACGATCGTTCAGATCGTTCTCCCGGACCCAAGGCCGCCTTATAATTAGCAAGGCTCCCATGCACGACGAACGCTACAATTATTGGCGCAACCGGTAGTTAAATAAATCGTTGCCTTTACCGATCTGAATTTATTCATTTTCCGCGTATACACATTACACGGCATTTCATCCTTTGCATAATGAGACTCACGGCTTCGTTCCGAGTCGTTACACAGCTGCCGCTTTGTTTCGGTCGGATGTCGAGCAAATTGTCCGATCCTACGCCCGACGTGTGTTATATAATTTGTGCTACCACTCGCAAAAGTTCACGAATATACAAGCGTAAAAGTTATCGCCAAGCGCAGAATTTACGAATATATATCCACTCCGTGTCTCCTCTTCTTTTTTCACGCGAAGTAAAAACGCGGCTTGAGGAATAAAGTGTATCTTTTATTCCCCCCTCCCCTCTCTTTCTCTCTCTCTCAGCTGTGTATGTTTAATGAATCTCCGCTTCTATTTAGTTTCATTCAAACAGAATATCATGTAACAAGGATGTATTATTGGGAAAGCGAAATATGCCGCGGAACTGCGGAGGAATAGCGGTCGGTAACATCGGACGTTTCAATATCAAAACTTTGTGGTAAATGAGCTAAAGGTAAAGGTCTTTCCTCCCGTCGAACATGTTATGCTTGCAAACTCGCGGACAGTATCCACATGTGTGTGTGTGTGTGTGTGTGTGTGTGTGTGTGTGTGTGTGTGTGTGTGTGTGTGTGTGTGTGTGTGTGTGTGTGTGTCTGAAAAACTAATATCGATAAAGCTGAAAGAATGAATCGCGCTGGTCTTTTTCTTTTGAACCTTACCTTGTCGAACGTCCGCGTACGGATCACCAACGTCATTCTCGTGATAGATCACAGAATGTAGCGTCTCGTTTACCTCGTGCGGCGGAAAGTAGTAATGCGCCTTTTCCACGTACCACGCACCACTTTTCGGTGATATTATCTTCCCGTGGAAGACTCCATCACTGACACTTCCGAACACGTGACTACTAGGCTCGCCTGCAAGTAGAAAATGTCATCCTGATCAGACGCGTGTGTGTGTTGAGAATCTCGGTGAGACTTCCTGCGACAAGTTATCGCCTAATTGCCAGATGCAGCAAATGTGTGTCAACTGACAGGAGCTTAGTTTCAGTTAATTTCTAATTTTCAGTTCGAGTCGGAAGGCAGAAAAGTATATTTCTTTCCCGAACGTCACTGACGTAGCGATCAGTCTGTAAGAAGGACGCGCGAACTGTTTCTGCATTTCGACGTTTAATTTCGAGAAATTTCTCAATACTGAAGCGAAGTGAAATGAGAACGTCACACGCTGCGCGAGTGTGAAGCAGCCTGCCGTCCCGCAAGTCTCAAGCTTCATATTCGCAAGATAACACATAATAACTATATAAATGATCATTATCCGTCAGACATCCGCGGGAGAGCAACGCTATACACGATACTGAAATTACCGGGGGGACCTGCTACTTTAATTTTTATTCGTTTCCTCGCGCCGCTCCTTCAGAAATGAGAAATGTCGTGAAACATAAATACTCAGCTGAAGGTGCACGCGCGAGTACGAAACCATGTTCGTGCGAGCGCGGCTACGCCGCGAACTCGCTTCGCTCGAAAAAGTATCGACGCCGCTGGAAACTTCGTCACTCGGCGAAACTTTTTGCACTGAATTGTTGGCTTACGCAGCAACGTGCTCCCGCTTCACCGCCTGATTCAGCCGCCTAACCGAGGCACACGTAGCGAAGTAACCAAGTTACACGTTACATATTTTTTAGCTTTCCGCGGAAATGGAAAATTAGAGAGAATTCAGCAAATTACGTATGCGCGCACACGCGCACACACACACACACACAGATGCGCGTGCGTGAATAGTGGTCTCGGGGAGGCTCAATGGGCCAACTTTTCGGCGAAATCCCTTAATGTTCAAGGATTTATATCGTATAACTCGGTATCCCCTCCTCCTTTGAAACGAGCGCTATTCTTTTCAATTTGTCCCATGGTGTACGGTAGTTGAGAAGAATGACTACGCTTCTTGATGCCGTCGAGAATTTCCGTCTACTACACAACGAGAGAGAAACGCATGATGTCGCGAGATCCATTTAATATATCAAGAGACGACAACATAATGAGCAAGACGAATGAATGAGCGAGCGAGCGAGAAGCGTCTCCTCACATCCGCGAGTCAAGTCTCGCGAGATTCGAGAATTCACACAGATCCTACACAGCTACATCACTCGATTCGAGGAACGAAACGCATGCGCAGCGAATATTTTATGTATCTCTCTGCGCAAAGAAACCACGTTTGTCGACGGAAATACGCGTTTGGCTGCGACGGTAACGCTGAAATCGTTTCTCCGCGCCGCGTGTTATGCATGGAAAATATTTTGCGACACATTTTCGACCAATGCGTCGGACGTGAAAGGAAAGTATTGAATCATTAAAAGCGTGAGATGAAACCTGAGCGTATTGCTGAGCGTGTAGCGGGTAAACGACAATAAGAGAGAATATTCAGCGGGCGTTCCGCGCATAGAGCCTTTTTCCTCTCTAGATAATAGATCGCAGAGAAGCGGAGTCATCCGCACAGTTGAGCTTGTCATGATTCTAAATTCCTTTTGACGCGCGAACAAAAGTGCTCCTTCGCTCCCGAAACGTTGAAAAAACGTTCAGCCGCTTTCCGGCGTCGCCCTTCCCTTTCGCGCAAATACTGCATTGACACATTGTTCTTTAAATCACTAAAAACACTGCGAGAATGCTCCGAACAAGTCATACGGTTTTACCGCAAAATACGTAGAACCCCATCAGAATATTTGACGGAAAGAAAAAAAAAGGAAAAAAGAAAAAAAAAAACAGAAACAGAAACAGAAAACCTGTTAGGAAGTTTTCGATAAGCAACATATTGAAAATTTCAGCTTCACACGGTAATTCCCTTTGGAAAAAAGGAAAAAAATTATGACATGAGTATATCCGTGTGTGTAAAAACAATAGCTACGTCCAGTATTACAAAATCGGCCGCAGATTCGACAAGAGCGGTATACTCCGTCGACTTTGGCAAGAATGGCGGGATACACGAGCGATTTTCGGAATTCCTTTTGATTCATCAACTGAGACATAGCCGGAGCCTTCCCGCGCGCGCGGCATTATCCGGTGAAGAGAACGCGGCCGTAACCGGGTCGCGAAAGGTCGCGGCGAGTGCGCGAGCGAAAGATAAACCGTTCCCCGGCACCTCGTCGCCCTGATCCATAATTTAAACTGTCGCCCCTCGCGCGCTGGACTCCCGTAAATTATTAGACTGGAAATAAAGGTTCCAGCCGGTATCTACGCTGACACGCACTTTTGCGTGCCACACCTGGCTATCGGGGAACGTCGCGGAAGCGATATTACACGAAGAAACGGTACCGCCTCGTGGAGGCCAAGCTGCAGAATGCAAGCAGAATGTGCAACGACGACGAAACGAACGTCGGAAGTCAGGCGGTGAGAGAACGTCGCGGTTATAAATTTCAGTATAATCCTTTGTTTGTATACAGCCGAGGGAAAAAGAAGAGAGACAGAGATAGAGACAGAGACAGAGAGAGAGAGAGAGAGAGAGAGGAAGAGAGAGAGAGAGAGAGAGAGAGAGAGAGAGAGAGGGAGAGAGAGAGAGGGAGAAGAAGAAGAAGAAGAAGAAGAAGGATCACTCCCCCCTGTCCTTGTGTTAAATTTAGTTTATTTTGACGGAAGTTCTTTGAATATGCAAATTGTTTCATAAGGTTAGCGTTAAACTTTAGCCGCGGAGTATCGCGCGATGAATTTGCAGATGGCTTTGCCTCAGACGGCAGATTTGATTAAATATTCCGGTCCTCTGTTGCACAACTTTTGAATAATAAATATTGCGGTAACCGAGCTGCCCGAATTAAGATCTCGCTCGGCGTTAACCGCGAGCGATATTGTCCAACACGTTTCCGAAGTTGCAGCCGATGGAAAAACTACGGATACGTCGATGTTGTTGTCAACGCGCCTACGGAAAGCTCGTGCGAACGGCCGAGTGTCAGCAGCAGAGAGAAAGAGAAAGAGAGAGAGAGAGAGAGAGAGAATTTGTACGTGAATTTGGCAGATCAGCGTGGCGAAATGTCCAGCTTCGAACCTCTCGCTCGGTTATAAACACGCTTTTTTCGACGCGCGCGCGCGCACTCATTACGCGTTACTCACCTGTCGCTTCGCGCGAACAATGGGCGCGCGCCGTTATTTCTTTTTCGCGATGCGAATCCATCCGTAGGTGGGTACGGCCAACTGTGCGCGTATAAACACAGCCAGAGAGGAGCTCATTCGATTTCACGTCGGCGCGGTTACGTGCGAGCCGAGTAGCCGCAGCGATCGATCGCGCGTAACTTTTACACGCCGAGTGTCGTCTGTGCGAATATATGGGCCACCGAGAAGATTGCAGACTCGATGTCATAATACCGCGGCTCTATATTTGGAGGAGTGCATACCGACGCGAGATATAATATCGGAGCCGTAGACTCGGAGCGGTCTATAGAGCGTATGCATGCAGAGTACCACCTTCGAGCGCGCTCGCACTTTCGTTTAACGACGGACGCGGTCGGAGGTGTCCGGGGAAACTTGCGTCGGAAAACACCGCGCGAGCTGGCGCAGGCGGGAGAATGGCGCAAACAAAAATGGAATTAATCACGCGACGCGCGCGCGATTCCAACGCGCCCCCCGCGGATGAAAATAGAGGCGCGTTTCGACGCGTCGCCGCGTTTTCGTGCCAGTCGAAATGGTGCGGCGCGGCGCGGTCAGCTTTAATTCCGTCTCGTTAACAATATATTGAATCAAACGCGTTTCTGCTGAAACGCAGCCTTTTATAATTACTGTTATAATATTTATAATCACTTCTCTCTGCCCGAACTCCGGCTTTCTCGCGGGACCGGGATCCATTATGTTCGTGCACACGCGCGTTAAATGCATGTATATGTACGTAATGTATAATGTAAAACTTTGTAATTAAAAAACAAAATGGAAATCTTGCAATGCTGCCGGTGATGGAAATATGAAATAATAATATCAAGTAATGCGAAATGTTAATATCATTTTCCAACTTGAACTGAAAATATCGCCAAGTTATGAACAACCGTCCCCACCGTTGCGTGAATTCTTTTCGGAAAAAACAGCAGAGGCGGATCCAATCGCGGGCACACTACGTGCAAAAATACACTCGGAATCTCCCTCCCCCCTCCTCTCTCTCTCTCTCTCTCTCTCTCTCTGCGATAGTATCATCGTGGACGTACCGATTAGGTTGCCCTGATAAATGTGGGTGATGTCGTCGTCCTGCCTCTCCCCCGTGGGTCCCTCTACAATTAGATTGTTGCTGAAAGTGGTGAGGTCTCGCTTTAATCGGATGTGGAAGTTCTTGTTGTGCGCGCGGAACTTCACAGTCACGGCACTGTCGCGGCCGATCGACCTTTTCGCCCTTAGGTGACTTCGCTGGACGTCCTCGACGGGGTACGACAGGGTTTCGTAGTGGCGGATGTACTCGTTCAACCGTTGAGCTGTAACAAAAGCAACAATAGGTCCTTCACAATGCACCATGTGAAATCCCGATCCGCAATAGTCGCGGCGAAATTATGCAGCATGTCACGGTAAAAACAGCATGTTTCAATAACTTCCTCGACACGCCGCTGGACCAACTTCACGCGACCCGTTATCCACGCCATACGTGGGTCGCTGTGGGCTGACCCACATTGTCGTTTTATTGTATTCGTCAAACAACACGCATCTCATATAAGACTCAACAGCGATGTCACGATTGTTTTGTTTTCGAGCCAAGGTATCGCGTATGATCCAAACACGAAGGTGCATTCACCCGGCACGAGACCCGGCGCGTCGGACCTCAATTTCCAATTTTTACTTAATCCGAAAAGCATCTCGGATATATCTGTTTTACTCTAGAATTCATTTTCCGATTCAAGGATGCTCCGAATAAAAAAAACACCGAAAACCAACCAGCCAGACAACTGCAGAGATACAACATTACGTTATGGACATCGGACGCGGGACGTCGCGAATATCGAGAAAACCCGCTTCGAATAACCGAGAATCATATTTTATTTCACGGCTTTCATAGCGTATTCGACAGGCGTAACGGCCGGCCCAAGTCGAGCGTGCGCGAGTCGGGCATCCGCATCCGAAGGGACATTGCGCGTAATCCGGTCTCTGCCGCGAGTATTTTTCGCGCGCCCTCGTCAGAGACAGAGACAGAGACAGAGACAGAGATAGAGAGAGAGACAGAGACAGAGAGAGAGAGAGACAGAAAGAGAGAGAGAGACAGAGACAGAGACACACACACACACACAGAGAGAGAGAGAGAGAGAGAGAGAGAGAGGGGGGGGGAGAGAGAGAGAGAGAGTTCCCGTCAAAGCGGCCGCTAGCGACGCGTTAGGGACGTCGAAGGGGAGCCTTTTTCGACCTAACAAGTCCCAGCACGGCTGTCTTATATCACGGCCGACGAAAACGCGAGCGGGCCGAGCGGGCGAGCCGAACGGCAGAGAATCGACGATGAGCCCTCGCGAGATTATGTTCCGAGCTCCTCAGCGGCTAATCCTCGGTAACGTTAACGAGACGAGACGCGCCTTACGGAGAAGGTGACCTGGCAACGCTCCCCCAGCTGGAGAGGATCGCTCGTAATTCGGACGGTGAATTTATACATTAGGCGACGTGAGCAGCGAGTGCCCCTCTCATTTGTCGGAAGAGGTCTTTCGCGTATTTATCAAGCGACGCGAAGAGTGCGACATTCCGGGTCACCTTAGCGTCCGGAATGCCGAACGCCGCCCGCCTGCCCGCCCGCCGAGGCGAGTAACGCGCGCGTGTTATTCACGCTCGTCCGTGGAGCAACATCGTCGTGGTATGAATATTATAAAGGACAAAAATGCACTTTCCTCGTCACGCGCTTTAGCCGATTTCTGAAGAGCTGCGCGAGCACCTCGCATTATGCGCCCCGAGACGCGGCGCTCCGCTTCTTCTTATCATATTCATGATAAGTGCCATCGCGCAAATGAGAATCGCTCGGTACGACTCTTAAGAGTCTGATCGCGGCGAATGAGGTGCGAGATTGTCCAAGTTTCTTCGCGCTGCCGAGCCGCTGCCTGCATCGAACAATGCCGGACCATTTCGCCATCGAACGGAGGATATTTTTGCCCTGCGCGCAGGGGAGGCTTCGTATTATAATATTTATGCACGACGTGCGGGGTCGGTCGGCTCCTCTCGCAGGAGCACGCGGATAATGTTTCTTTGTTCTGCCATATTTATTTATTGTAGGTATCTCGCGCATGGTACTTGCAACGCGAGAAATTTCATTACTCCGGCAAGCCGGCCGGCCGCTCGACAGCCGCATGTGTGTGTGTGTGTGTCTGACGTAATTTTTACCCATAAATACTGCGAAGAATTTGCGGGGAAGATAATTTTTTTTGTCTGTCCAGGAGGAAAAGTAGGGGGGAATAGAGGTGTTTTGTGATCGAGGCTCCTATCTCTCGAAGACAGGCACTTTATCACATTATAGAGAAGAATTACGCGCGATGCTGCGGGCCGGAGGGATCACAAAGGCACTTTATGCAAGAACATTACACGTTCGAGAGAGCTACAATTAACATCCTATTAGAGACGCAGGCTGAATATCTCGCTCCTCTTTCTGCCGTCTACTTTTTTACGCTTAATGACATCTTTCGACGCATTGCAGCGCGTTGCAATTTGTACAGATCAAAGGAAATGCCGACATCGCGAGCGGAAAATTTGATTTTTACAACAGCGGCGAATCTATATTTCACTTAAGTCGGAGCACGGGAAGATAAAGAAGAGAAAAAATGAGAGAGAGAGAGAGAGAGAGAGAGAGAGAGAGAGAGAGAGAGAGAAAGAAGGCAACATTAAGACCCTTCGGTCTTGCTATCAGACCGCGACAAGGCGACAAAGAAGAATTCGACGCGGTAAGCTTCAAATAAGCTGATTGCCCACATTCTCGCCTGAGAGCCATTCGACGGATCGAGTCACCGGGAAAGCTATGAAACCGAATACGGAAGGCTTATCAGCCGGCGTCCCGTCTATTCATCTACGTTGATGGAAATGTTTCGTACTTCATTTATTACATAATAACGAGATTACCGGCCGGCCAAGTAATCAAGAAGGTGAACATGTTGAGACGGTATCTTTTCCATCCGCTCGCAATATTTCGCAAGAATGTAATATCGTTGCCGATATTACATAAAGTGTATTTGCCAAAATATGGCAGGCGGTAACAAGATCACTGTTGTTTCTTCGATGAAATTGACATCAACCCTCTCGTTCGAGGAAAACATCTCGATCGTCGCATTTTGCTTTTCGCTTTTCGATATCATCTCGAAGCGAGATGCATTGTAGGATTATTCGCGTACGTTGTTATACATCCCGAAGATTTGAAGTCAAGTCTTGAGACCGCACTCGTGGAGATTGATTGAACGGTAATCCTCATTTTCAAACATCAAATAAGCGCACAATTATTCCACCGCGCACAAATATAATTTCCCGGAGAATTCAGCTTCTGGAACAGCTTCTCATTGCTGACTTTCGTATTTCGACGAATACCCTCTATCAAATAAAAACTCAGAAAACGAGATAGCGACGCGACTTTCTTCTACATTCCCATCCGTTCTCGAATGAATAGAAGGATTCGAAACGAGACATGAAAACGTATCGACATCTAAAGCTGCAGGGACGCATATGATGCATGAGACAGACTGCAACGACGTACCTTTTTATGCATTGTAGCGGGGAGGTGGATCGATACGTATTCGTATGGCGTTACTAGTTTATCTCAGAGCGCGAAAATTCCGGCGGCTGCAGCGCGCGAAGAAATAAATCAAATGCGCGTGCGTCTTCTCAGGGCGAAAAAAAAGAAAAAAAGGGGGGGAAAAGAGAAAGAAACGGATAAAAATAACGGCCTAACGAACGGGTGATGTTTCAAACATTGCGATATCGAAAAAAAAAAGAAAAAACAATAATAATAATAGTTGGCGCGTCGCGTGACGATAACGAGAAAAATTAAAATAAAAGGAAAAGAGGGGGGGGGGGGAATTCTCTCGCGATCATTTTTTCTAGTTCAACTGCACGGCGCGCTCTCGTGCGTTTCTTGACAGGGAAATAAAATTATAACGCAATCACACGCACGCGCGCCTCTCTGCCTCTCTGCGAGTGCATTTCATTCGACATAGTCGAATCGAAAATCCTCTCGTCCCGCGCTTCTCCTCGACTATCGAATTTCCGACGGGTAATGCGATAATAACCGTTAAACTTAGTTTGTTTGTTATGCACGGCGACATAGAGCGACAGAAATCAAACAAAATGGCAGATGTAACCTCCCCTCTCCCGTTCGAAGGGGGAAATAAAGAAACGCTGGAAAATCGGAGAATCATTGCGGTGCGTTTCACTACGGTCTCATTCGCCGCTGCAATTCTATTTACTTCCGAGTGGATGGTAACAAATGAATGAAGCATGTCCGGACGACGAGCTTCGATTTCCGTCGTGGAAATTCAATTTTTTTAACGGCGCGATGAATATAAAGATAAATATAACGTCCCGCCTGGAATTGTATACCGTGGGAGATGCGTTACGCGAAATCAATTTCGTCCGGGCGTTTTCGCCTCGTTGTGGACGCGCATGAGAATCTCTAACGAGTTCAGCGTCTAGATGGTGGCATCCATCGCTACGACAGGAGGGGGGGGGGGGCAGGGGGAGACCGCTACGACCTCCGTATGTAATATTTATCGTTGTTATTTCCCAACTTTTAATTACGGCCCAACAAACATCTGCGATGCGACTTCGCTGGAAAAAATAACGTGGGGAAGAGCGGGTGAAGCCGTCTCGGCGCGACAGGGCCGTCGGTTTCGCGGCGACGACGACTTCAATGCCCGGCGTCGAGGAGAAAGAGCGGAAAGTAATATCACGGAGAAACGGAGAGGGATGCTATCGGAGAATGAGGAACGGTAGTCAACCACCACCCTCCCCGCTTTCCAATTTTCCGTGCTGTGTGTCTTCGGCCGCGCCGGTATTCTTTCGCGCGAATTGCATCGAAAACGCTTCTCCGAGCGCCATGATATTTGGATACGAAGATGAAGGGGCTGTGGGGCCGGGAACAAAAATGCAAATTGCGTGTCTGCCCGGTGATACCGGCGGGAACCATCAATTCTCTCGTTGCCTGCGTCCTCGTCGTCCTCGTCGTCGTCGTCACCACCGCCGCCGCCGCCGCCACCGCGCAGCAAAAGTTGTATTGTTTAATCTTACGAGCTGCATTTTTCTCGAAACAACTCGGCGCATGCGCGCGTCCGCAAATTTCCTCTTTTACATATGTTCTCCGGCGTTTTATACATTTATCGTTCCAATGCAACTTTTATTCCGTCCCACACGAGCGCGCTTCGTATCCCCGCGATCGCATGCGACAAACAGCGGGCAAGCACCGTCGCGCGTCTCCGCACCGGAACGAAATTAAATCCCAAGGTGACGCGTATCAAACGCGAGCTATTGAGGC